AGAAAATCATAATAATCTCCATAACATTACTGAGCAAGCTCCAACTAAAATTTATGTAAACCAGAGGTTCCCAGTATCTCGAATATTTTTGTTTCACACTTATAGTCTCATCACATAACAATGAAATAAAAAATGCTGAAGCTTAAATCGATAGTATTCATTCCAAACGGTAGAAAGGAATTACTTCTCGACCATAATTTTGACCGTTATTTATGTTGATTATTCATTATTAATGCCTAATAAATTTGTTATTGTTATCACTGGTATGCGATGAAGTGATCAGAATTTAGTAGCGTTATCGCCAATGCTACTATAATTGAAAACGCCAAATTTCCTTCATTTCACTTCTCTGAAGACGGAATAATGTTCTGTCTTCCGAATTATATATATATATATATATATATGTATATGTTAATTTTAGTCTTTTGTTGAACGAAGTGAATGTAAACATATTGTACAAAAAAGTTGATACATTTAAAAGGGATTTTTCAAGGAAAGCCAGCTTTCTTTTAAGAACCACAAAAAATGAAAGTGATCAAACAGTTGAAACTTTCTAGACCAAATAACTCAGCAGTGAGGCACCTTAAACATTTTGTACAGGGTAAAGTAGAGCTTCAGTAAGTTCTTCAAATCTTAGTCACTTATTCAGCACCATTTTGTTGATGTCTACTTGATTTTGCCTTCTCTTTATAACTTTCAAATATTTTCGCCAAAGATATTAACTCCATAGTCTTCCAAAGCTTGAAATAACTGAGCCAGCACATATGTTGCGAAAGGTAACTGTGGAGTTGCCACAGGACTAAAGATAAAGTGTTACAAGCATATGCCTAGTTTGGCAATAGATAACCTACGAATACAATATGACCATTCCACTCAATTTTGTTTATTGTATTTCTGTTTTAGTACCGAACAGTATCCATTGAAAGTGAAACGCCACAGTATGTTTTGGTGAATCACTTATATATATATATATATATATATATATATATATCCGGCATTAAAAGTGTAGAGTGTGTCTATTATTGAGAATTTTAAATGTGTTTAACAATGTTTTAACTTGATCTCAGTTGTCAAGGTGTTCTTTTAGATTGATTTGCATCCATTCGGTGAAAGAGTACAAAGTTATGGACTATTGGAGTCACCTTACTCAAAATAATCATTTGGTCAGATTTAAAACGTCAATAGTAAATAAAACTAAACTGATTTCATTTTCCTCAAGATTATTTAAGTTTATCTTTAAATGCTCAGGTCCGAAACCGAGAAGATCTGCAGAAGTTTAGACATCACCAAAACACCCTCATTTTGCTTCATGAAGAGCGATTTTTGTACTGTGTTTCAAATTCTTTCCTTTCTGTCTAGTTAACTGGAAAGCATAAGTACCAAGTGACCAAATAGTGTTTCTTTCCCTTCCATTAATGACTATTTAAATCAAGTAGACTAGGACCTACCTATATTTACAGGAAGATAATATTTTCTTCGTTTAAATTACCTTGCATCGTACTGCAATATTTCCAGCCTCACTGCTGGCCAAGCCTTCCATTATTCTGCACGCCTTGGTATATATATATATATATACCAATCTCACGCCATACTAAATAAAATTGTTGACATTTGATGTTATGCCCAGTCTGAGAAGTTCAACAGCAACTTTTCTCAAAATGTATAAAATCTTTTCTTAAGTAATCCAGCAAAGTTTGGCTACATGCAGTGCGTTCAACAGAATATGAAAACGAAAAGTCCCGGTTTTATAGATCTGTTCATTTCAAGGAACGATAACAGAGCTAGTCTCATTTACACTCAAATAAAATGTTATATTACTGATTGGGAAGTTACAGATGGTTGATATTTTTCTGTTTTACTCTTTTAAAATGCACTAAAACTATGTTCACTTAAGGAGGAAAAGAATGTAATGGAAACTTAGTGAACAATGTTAGCATTTATTCTTAGCCAAAACTTTCAGGGACACAGTATCTTTAAAGGGATAGTCAAACAACTGTGATGGTTGCAATGAAAACAGTTAGTTTTATTACGAAACAAAGCTTGGTATCACTATTCGTACACTAACGTGGAAAGCAGCTTTTTCATGGTCAGAAAAACCTTGAAGGCAAGAAGTTTGAAGGAAAGAAGATAATTACTTCCTGGTGAAATCCTCATGCTTTACTATCGCATGATAATTGTGCGTCCATTTGTTCTTTTGTGGAGCTTTTCTCTAGTTATCTCCATTCAAAAAATAAGGCTGTTTATCTTATTTGTCCATATGATGGTTCAAAAATAATAAATATGGCTAAAGCAGAGATATCTATCTTCCCATATGCCGTTTTTATAAAATCAAGAATTATCTCCACACAGAAGATAACGAAATAAGAGATAACATATGAAATACGCATGGGTATACAAACCATATCCGCTAGTTGGTTAGGTCAAATTTGATTAAAAACCCCTTAAGTGTTTAGATGATAGTGTAAAATGCTGTAGGACCATGTGGAATGTAACAAATGAAATATAATCAACAGAATGTAAGAGGATATAAAATGGTTTAAGGGTAGTTGCATATGTGCAGTGGTAAATAGTTTGTGATGTGAACAACTTTACCTGCATCTTGAAACATTGTGAGTAGTATAGAATGATCAGAGTGTATATTATAAAGCATGCCACAAACAATAGCTAGAAGGTGGTACTTTAAAGCAAGTTATAGTCATCTTGTGAATTTTTTTAAACGGGTACTACATTTAGATTCTCATTTTAGTTTTACTCAAGGTTAAAGGTAAATATAGACGATTTGTGATAGATTAGCGAATATACATATGATATACGGCCAGGAAGTAAATTTTAAGTTTCAGATATTTTGACCAACCTATGTTGAAAGTCGTAGACAGGGAGGGAATTGGCAAGCGTACAAAAAGATAACTTGGTAGACACTTTAGGCTATACTACTTTTGAGGATGAAGAACTCGATAAGATTTTTTGAAATACCTAAATGTAGTCCATACTTGAATAAACTGCACCAAAAATAATAAGAATAGCTGAAATAAACTTGAACTGTTTATGCAATTTGGCAGCTTTTATCAAATGCTTTAATAGTACACCATCTGCCGCTCCGGCTGATGTCGAGAAACATCCTACTTGAGTTTTAAATTTGAATTTTTAGGAAACTCATTAACAGTGAGTTGTGCTTGAGACAATTAATCCCTTTATGAATTTCGATAAATCTAATTTGAAGAGGTAGGTTATCTGAAAAATGCCTTGACGAGTAAATGTATCATTGCACTATTCAAAATGTATGGTGTAATTACACCACATTTTTCAGACAATCTACATCTTCTAATTACGTTATCCAAACAGAATTTTGTTCACATCAATTTTAAATGGTGTCGTTTTCTCATCATTCAAATACAGATCAAAATAGAAAATAAAATTTTCAAAACAACATTAGCATGGTCAGAAATAAAAAATTCTTTTGTTACTGTTTTGTAATGCAAATTATCCTTGAAAATGTCGCATTATCTTATTTCTTCAAAAAGCTTTTGAGACTCTTTCGTGATTAACTAGACGCTTTCTCGGATAAACACCGTTGTGACGAAAACGGATACAACAAAATCTTTCTAGGTCCCTGATTGCGCATTCAGATTTAGGTAATAATATATGGTCTAATATGTGCTTATATTCAAAGATATATCAGCTGTTGTATACGCCTTGTAATTTCCCTAGTTTATAAACGTTATCTTGTGTGTATGAATTCGAAAGTTCTCATGTAGTATTTATAGCTAGCTAAAATGTCTGAGAACAGTTGTATGCACGATAGGCACCTTATGTTCCTTTTGGAATACTGAACATGTTTCTTTCGAAATAGCTGACTGGAAAATTGAAGGAAGTCACAAGTATATAACTGGTGAATACCAAATGGAAAAAGTACTACTGAAATAATTTTTGATTCTAGGACAGTTTGATGAGAATCTTGGTTGAATTATATATCAGAAGATTGATGACAATAGGTTTGTCATATCGATTCTTGCAAACCTTTCATGAAGTGGTATACACGGTAAAATCCACAATACCTTGCCTTACCTACTTCCTGTTAATTAGCAAAACCAATTATTTTGAAAAGACACTTGTCTATTCCAGATGCACTCAAGCTATATTCAGGAAAATTGGGATAAATAACATAAGTAAAAACAAGCGCTTTTGAAATTATCTTTTCGTTGACCTGAATTGTTTGTAGTAAAAGTTCTTAAGTGTCTGTGGGTTGAGAAATGTCTATCATTATCTCCGTCATAATCTTGAAACCACTCCTCATGCACCTAGCCTTATGAAAACAGAAATGGAAAGTGATCAAACTAATCGAAATTATTCTTCAAGCGAATATAACCATTGTCAAGTTCTGATTCACATCCCGAAGGTGGCTTTTGCCTATTTTACATGTTGGCAGTGCAAATAAGCAGTTTTATTTGAATGGTTTCTTAAGGTTTTCAGTTTTGCATGAAGGTACAGACAAGTAATTACAAAAGTTAATATCACTGAAGTAAATTAAATTTTAGCTACGATGGATCACTAGTATATTTGAAACTTTGAAGCCTAACCTTACATATATACCCTTTTAGTTCGTGATTTTCATACTGGCTTTTTAAAAGAAAATAGTCTTAGTATACACCATGAGCGTAATAACTGATTTTTGATGAGACTGCAAAAATAATTGAGAAAATATACATTCCAGTCTTAAGATATATATATAAGTAGCACCATTCAGCACTAAATACCCAATAGATGTTTTTTCACTAACCTATATACATTGACATCATAGCTAAGCGCCTTATTGTTGAACTAACTGAGCCTAATGCAAACAGTGTGAATGAACACGGTCAACACGGAGTTGTCTAACACTTTCTATTTACTAGTTCTTGAAATTTATTAAAACCTAAAAACCTACAACTTAAAGCTTATTCTTCATTTGAAGTCAGTTAAAAAATGAACCACTCAAAATATCATTTTGACGGGTAACTTACTTCATGCAGATTATTCTTGACAGAAATGGTTATTCTGTAGACTGATGATGGTAATAATCCACTACTTTTTCAGACAAATAATTACAATGAAACGTGTCTACTGTTAACAGACCGCTTTCAGTGGCTGTAATATCATATTGTATGATAATGCAATTAAAAACCATTCAATTGTAATTTTTATAATTTCATTCTATTGTGGTAGATACACGTTTATTTGCAATATATATATATATATATATATATACTTATATATAATGTTGGTGTTTGCTATTCTACAGGATGAAAAATTACTGAAATTGTTAAACCAATCAGAATAACTGGAAAAATGTGTTTAATGTCTAATTTGATTGCTTGAGTTGTATTAGGGAAGTATGTTGGTTTACTTTTTCAGACAATTTTCGCAGTAAACCATAGAACTTGTGCTCTTTTGCACTACCTTATATTTAGGACGAATGATGTGCAAACGGGTATGCAGCACACATACAAATAACAGTTGAGGTAGACAAAATGTAGATAATATTTAATGTAGAAATCTATATAATCCTCATATGCATGCGCTTATTGTAGATGACAGGAGGATGACAGTTTCGGTATTCAAAAAGTTCTAAACCTCCAGGTTTTTATTTTTCTATTCAAGGTCATGTCTGACAACGTTTAGGAAAAAGTATCAAAACTGGGTTGGACATAGGTTTCAAAGTGGTGGATAGAAGACTTTTTATTGCGTGCGATTACGATCATTTGTACATGTGTATACACGCGTGTGAATGTGTCTACCTGTCGATAGACCGCAGCGAAACTAGTTTTGTTTCGAGTAGAGAAAAAAACAGTAAAACTATCATACACTTTGTGCAATACTTTGTGTATGCAAACTAGATCAAGGAGCCTACTGGTCGATGAACCAACAACACGATTACCAAAGTATGCCTATAAAGTTTTGTTTAATATTTTTGCATGACTTCAGTTTCTGTATGATGTTTGTATGTTCATTTTGGTAGAAACATTTATGGACTTGAATCTACATATGCATAGAGACATGTATTTCCACGTCCACCTAGCTTAGGTAATCGGTGTCTTAAGTATTTACGAACAAACAGATAGATGTGTGATACAAAAGAAGTAAACGTCTAATTCTATATCTACCTACATTTATTGTATCTTAAATAAAAATATCCATTTTGTGTGTTTTAGAAAGTATAACTTTTAAGAGGCCTAATTCTGCTGTTTAGAAATTTAGATCCTCACAAGAATGCTAAATTACATCTGATTCAAACAGAACAACGTAGTATGGTTTAGTTAACTTTGGAGAATGATATTAATAAAATAAAGTTTTGTCACTGACACCTCATTACAGGAATTAAGGTTTGTTGTAAGTCAATATAAAGTTTATGGAGGGAAAACTTCTGCACTGTTGTAGACCCATTTTAATCTATTTATTAGAAATGTTACAAAGTGAAACAGCATTATTTATTGGATAAGGTTTCAAACGGAACTTATTGTCTCAATTCAAATCATGTGAAGGGTTTCCAAAAATACTTCAATTCTTGGTTGACGATTTTTACCCTACAAACAACCTCAAGAGTAAAACTGTGACAATGTGATGTGACTATGAACAATAGAGTTTGTCCAGAATGTTATCCAGTAAATAATACTGTTTCACAGACTAAAATGGATGGAAGCTTACAGAAACGTTATAGACAATCACAGAAACAGACTTACTCCTGCCACATAATATGTGGCTATCATGATATAACTGATCAGTTTAAGGCGGTTGAAGACGTAAGATGGAAAGCCTTGAATTTAGTTTTTCAAGGATATCAAGAGAAACCGAAAGCTGTATATAGATCTTTGATCAGAATGATCTTGTTAACTTTTAATGTATGCATATGCAGTTAAAGACTTCTTGAGTCTGAACAGATGGATCTGCATGCTCTGTTAATGAAAAAACATAAATTCAGGATGCTTTGTCTGCTTTTAGTTCATAGATATCAAGTATTTATTTACCTGATGCACTTCCAATGATCACTGCATTAAACCAAACAACTGATATTTCCAATAAGATTATACTCATTCATTTCCCCAGCTATCTGCATTAGTGGAGGTGATATCAGAAAACCAATATTACACTGGCCAATTGTTCAATCCGTGAGGAAGATACTGATTAGGATATGAAAAAAGAACCAGGATTTCAGCGAAGAGTCTTTTTAGCGATTTCATTCTCGAAGCTTCACTATCATGAATTTATAAATTTTTCATTATGGTACTGCTTGATAGTTAAAAGTGAATTGTATCCCATGCAAGCAAAGACAGTGTCAGTATTCGAGCTGTCTACAAAGTCAAAAGTTTGGATAAGTTTCGTCACATGAAAAAATATTTGCAAATTGAAGTGTGCTCACAAGGAGCATAAAAAAGTGAATGGTAAATGAAGTAGGAATTGAACAGTATGGAAAGGAAGAGGTAATTGCAAAAACTGAAAATTAATACCATGAAAGAAGAAGAAGTGGGAAGACTTTCTCTAACGTACAAACCACGATTTTCTGCATGCAGATGGCAAGAGTTTCAGTAATGTAGAAAGTGTGAAGATTTCGGAAGATTTCTTTCATTTTGCAAATGGCTTTGAGTCACTAAATTCTTGAGATAGAGTGACCTGTGTTCACGAAATGTTTTATTATTACACTTTTTCAAGTTGTTATTCATCGTAGACTGACATCAGTTGGAGGAACAAAGGACCTCTGGGAGCATGGTCGCGCGTGCGCACTTCTGAGGAGTCTCGTACTAGGTCGAAATAGCTGTCCAGTGTTCCCAGGTTTCCTTTGTTCCTCCAAGTGGTCAGTCTACGATGAATAACAATTTGAAATATTTCCAAATCTCCACAACTTCCTCATCATCGTATTGCACTTTTTAACCATCCACTGTAAACTCTTTGTAACCCTACATGATAGTGCCACTTAACCCTTTTGGATAACAGTCACATCGAAAGACATTTATACCTGTCTCAATAAGAGCAAGTGAACTGATATGCATGAAGAGATGCGAACGCTTTCTCTCCAAGTCGTTAGACAACATGGCTAACAGGAGAATATCAGTCTCAGCGTTGACGGAACGAATGTTCTTCTTAAAGAGTTGGATATTCTTTGCCTTAGAATGTCATCAGTGGAATCACCTTTGAAATTTAGATTCATATAAGGCGTATTTTAGCACAATGGCAGAGCTCTGTTTGCAAGGTACTGACTTGATATTTCTGTCTTTAAAGCATGAAGGGAATCTGTTTTCAATAAGAATGTTCCTTAGAACATAAATTGCTTCCCCAACACATCAGAACTGCAGATTCGGCCAGTGCGAGTGGCAAGAGGTGCAATTAGGTTGCCTTTGTGACTAATAGAGGTCCAGCTACGAAAGTTCATCAGTTGGTCATTCTAAATCAGTTTCCTGTAGATTGATCTGCTTTCACTGTTGTCATAATACATATAATTTCCCGTTACTATATAGGGTCGAATTGCTTGACTTCTTTTGGCAGATGGGGCCCAATGCGGATGCCCCGATACAGACACATCCAGACACATTCACCTGAACTGTCTCAAAAAGGCTGAAAGTCTGGATCCGGATTTCTTTGCTAGTCACCAAGATCAATGTAACAAGACGTTTAAGTTCGATCAGTTATTCGTGGCAGTTTTATATCAATATCATGAGTTTTCTAGCCATTTTCGACATCAAGATGGAATCCGATTGCTGAATAACAGCTCCTGAATATCTTCAAAATGTGGTTCATGTCACACTGATTATCACAAATAATAAAAGCATCGTCCATGAACCTTTTAGCACTTGAAAATCTTCAATCGTTGATTTCTAGTGCCCGTTCTCCAAACTGGCCATAAAGTTGTCCACTGATAGTGAACCTAGTGGGGATCTCATGTCTATTCCATCTTTCTGTTTACGAATCACGTCCTTAAACGTGAATTAGACGTTAAATATATGCTTCTAAGTAACAGTTATTTAAGGCCGGGAGTCAGCATTGTAACTGTCAAGTTGCTTAATCCTATGTCGCTTCACAATAAGAGGTAGTTTAAATGGAACATTGGTGAAAAGTGACTCAGTGTCAAATGATAGAACACACTGATGACAGAAGTTCATGTCTCTTACACAGTCGACAAATTTGAAAGTGTCTCTTAGAAAACGGAGGGCCAGTCATCGTCTTACAAGGTCCAGAATTTCGACTTACTACTTTGCAACTAAACGGTAAAGATATCCAGATATGGTTAGGAATAAATGATGAGATAAACCAGGTATTTTGAATTTTTGGTGACTCATATAGGCATGGAATCGTCACGCCAGTTGGCTTGATGTTTTCTTAAAAGTAATCGTTTCTTACCTGATCATTTTTAAATCTTCCTAAAACCTCAGTACGCTGTTGTTCAATTAGTTCTGTCCCATTTTTCTCGTCTGCAGGTTTAGGGAGCTTATTTTCTTAAGCGATTAGATTCATGATGTTTTTAAAAGTTACATGGATAGAAACTTTAAGTACTGATGATTCGCAATCAGTATTGTCACAGAAATCTGGCGTTTTTCAAGTTTCTTTTGCCTGGTTCCCTTCTTAGACGATCAAATTAGTTCCATCCAGATAAAATCAAGTTCAAATATTTGAAATGATTAGTATCAAGATATCTATTTAGACTTAACTGTACATTGAAAAATATCTGGTCTACACTGTAAGCTATTTAAGATCGAACTTGAAAAATCCAAGAAGTGTAAAAAACTCTGGTTAGACGATTTAGTAAACCATAACTTTATTTTGTTGAACATGATCAATGAGAATAAACCTGAACCTCACAGTCTGTCAGTGGGTTATGCTATTCTGTAGGATAACAGATCTTCAAAATGGCGGCACATTGATTATTTAGTGACATTCACATCTTGGGAAATAATGTGTCAGTGAATCAATAAGTAAGCATTTGTAGAAATCTGAAAGAGTAAAGAAGTTGCGCAATATATTATAACACTTAAGTCAGTAGAAACAGACAGTGTATGATCGGTTGAACCTTTTATCTGTTTCTGTTTATCATATATTATAAGTGATTGTAAATTTATTCAAATGCAAATTAGTATAGCTGTTATGAATAAATTATTGTCAAATAATCCGCCTGTCATCGTAAAAATCGAAAACAGCAACAAAATAAATGATATATTTTGGAAATATCTGATTAAATTCTCGATCAATATTATCGTTGGTGAACTTGGTATCATGAGTAAAATTCTGCCTGTAACATTTTACATTCTAACCGGATTAAGTTCTTTTTAACATAATATGGAAGAAGCAATCAAATAAAACTTTTATCATTCATGGATTCGGTGAATAATAAAAAATACACATTTTACCGTTGTTTAACTTTTAATTGGCTGATTAAAAGCTATTATTCACAAAAGTATTTTGCCAAGCTAACAAAAGAAACGGTCAGTCTTTCTTCGTTCTGAAAACTCTGAATACTCCGAAAGATATATGTTAAGTTCTAACCACGTCAGCAAGCAAAATGTCAGTTAAGTCCAATGACACCAATTCAAGGATTACTGTTTACTTATACACAATCAAAAGAAAGCAAATCGACCTAAGCAAGTGTACACAGA